CCAGCACGAAGAAGATCAAGGTCATTGCTTCCCCTGAGTGCAAATACTCTGTGGCTCCATCCTGGCTTCCCTGTCCACCTTCCAGCAGATGTGGATCAGCAAGCAAGAGGACGACGAGTCTGGCCCCTCCATGCGTTCACGGCACACTGCAAATGCTTCTAGGGGGACTGTTTAGTTGCGTTACACCCTTTCTCAATTAAACAACAACAACAACAAAACCCAAAAAACCTACCTAATTTGCACAGGGCAAAAAAACAAACCAAAGGAGGTGAGAATTGGCATGGCTTTATTTGTTACTTTTTTGTTTCTTTTTGAAAGGATTTTTTGGTTTTGTTTTTGTTGTTGTTTTGTTTTCCGCGTGACTCAGGATTCAAAAACTGGAACAATGAGGGTGACAGCAGTTGGTGTGGAGCGAGAATCCCCCCAATTCTGCAATGTGGCCCAGGACTTTGATTATACATTCTTCTTTTTTTTTTTTTTAATAGTCATTCCAAATAATCTCAGCATGGCGATGTGACAGGAAGCTCCTGCCTTTCAAAAGCCCTTCCCCTAAACAGAAGAACCCTGTCCCCCACCCAGATCCACACTGGGACAGGGTGGCAGGTACCATGGCTTTTGTGTGAATTATACCTAATCCATTTTTTTTTTTGGTGGCATTGTTGTTTAAAAAGTCTTCCACCTTAATACTTGTTCTTTAGTTTTTGTTTTTAATAGTCAGCCATTGGAGGCTGAGGGATGTTTTCAACAGTGAGTTGACGGAGGAAATCTTTTAAGCTTATTTATTAGATCATTTGATTTCTTTAACTTTTTACATTCAACATTTTTTTTTTCATTTCCATTCATTCATTGTTGCACTTTTCTCCCTGCCTACCCCTCCCCAGCACACTCTTCTATTTAAAAAGTAAAATGAAAATTGTTTCATTTACAAAAGAATAAAACTGTGTTTTCTGTTTACATACAATGTCACTGACACCATTAAATCATCCTTCCCATCTTTTTGCTGTAGAAATGACTCTTACTAAATAAAGCACATTTTACTAAATAAGCATTTTTACTAAGTAAAGCTTGAAATGCATCAAAATAAAAAAAATTGTTTCATTGTTTACAATCCCTCTCCCCAGTTCCACTCCCTAAGCAGCCTTCCTTCTGGACTCCTGTCATGACAATACTTAATCACATATCCCT